ATTCTATTCTGGGGTATAGGCAATGAATTTTCAAATTCATTCACAATTTTGTAATCTTATTATTTTATGGCAAAATAATTTTTGGTGGTAAGATATTTTATGGTGCTAAGAAGTTCTTTGTATTTATATATAATTTATTCAAATCATATTGCTATCATAGTAATGAGCATTACTTTCTCATATCATGTGCAGTTTGGAAATGTTAAAAAGATCTCAATTTAGCAAAAAGAAAGTACACAATAAATATCACAGAATCTGGTAAGAGCCATTACTGTTTATGGTAACAGCGGCCCTTTACACTCATCTCCCTTTCCTGGGAGGCAGAGACTGCTTCCCTGATAGCAGTATGGATTAGCCATTTATCATCCATATTTGAGGCACTTCTCATTTTTCACTACATTTTGACTTTTTCTATCGATATGCTGCAGCTGAACATGTTTCCTTCCTGTATTCTTCTGCCAAGAAAAGAAATGGAATTAGAGGCAAAGGGAATAAGGCATAGAAGTGAATAAATGTATGATTTTTGCTTACTGCTTTCTCCATGTTAAACATTTGGACCATACTACTAAGTAAATGAATTTCAGGTTTCACTAAAGAACAAATGGCTATGGGATTATTAGCTTTACAGTAAAATTATAAAAGTATATTTAATATTACATTAAAGCTACTATAATATATTTTATGTGTATAAACACAAATCAAAGCTAAGTAACCAAAGATAACTATTCTGAAATTCTTATGATATCATAAAATATTTTATTCAGTTTCCCAAACTTATTTGATTTCTCAAATAATTAAAATTGAAAAATTATCATTCACTTAAGGTAAACATTGGCTTGATTGTCTCTTTTTGGAATGATTAGTTAAAAAACTTAACTGAAGTTACAAAATTGCAGACATTATTCCCATTTTACAGAAAAAGAAATAAATCTAGCAAAGTACTTAAAGTTCCTCTTTGATTTAAAAATATTGTTTTAAGATTTTAAACTATTCATATAACATCTAATAAAACTGATGTGAAAAGTGCAATGCACTTTTCCAAATGGCTAAAAACCTAAACTACTCCAAAAAAGAAACAAAAACTTTTCTAGTGGTATTCTTTAATAATTGCAAATGATGTACTATTCTACAATTATAAGGATGGATATATCTCAGTTTTGTAGGTTGTAAACTCCTTAGGTTAGAAATGCCTTATTCTCTTTTTCTAAAAGAGCTTCTGTAGTATTTTTCACATAGCAAGTGCCCAATTAATGCTGTCAATAGAATATTTAGGTTCTAACTCATTCAAAATTCTTTAAACTACTAGATAATTTTCCTCTTGTAAACTTTGTGCAAAGTTCAAGTTGGAAATAAAATATTTCAAGTACGTAATATAGCATATATTTAACAAATAAATGAAAGAAAGAGAGTAACTAATTAGATGATTGAGGTCTAAGCCAATATACTGAAATTGCCAGTCAATTGAGGCCAAAGTGTTATATTTCAATAATCTAAGATGATTTTTTTCAGTGGTTCATTTCATTATACAATTGTAGTTCTTAAATACTTAATCTATAATTATCTTAACTATTCAATTTTTTTTGAAACCCCATCAAATTTTGATTGGTCATAGTAGAGTCAATATTGGTTCAGGTTTCAGGATTGCTCTGTAACATGTGTTTTCATGGAACTATTTATTGGCATATCTTTAAGTTTTGATACCAAGAAGAAAGTCCTGCATGTCCTGTATATTACTTTTTATGATAATAATATTTTTGGTGATAAAAGAAATAAATATAAGAAATAGCTAAAAGAAAATGCCAGGGAATTATATGAAAAATTTACTTTTAGCCTTTTTTTTTTTATAGTTCAGCGTCACATTGAAGCAAAGCAGTTAAGTTAAAAATCTTGAGTATGTGTTTATTATATCTACTGATACCATACAGAGTTAGTTCATCTTTTAAAAATTAAATAATATGTTGCACCTGAATAATGTGTGCTAAGATTAAATCTTAGCACATTTTATATTTCCATTTTTCTCCAAATAAGCTTACAGATTAAAAAATAATATTTATAAATTAGCTAGCAAAAGAGCTGAATTAGAAACCACTCTACTTAATATTCTACCAACACATTAAAAATGCACCCTTCCAGTATCCACCCTTGCACATTTATCCACCTCTATGTACATACCAAATAACATTTATTATCAACCTGGAAAAAGCTAAATCAACAAAATGTCCTTGGAATCACCAATATAATTTTTAACACTTATTAAAATACCTGACAATTTTAATTACATCTGATAGAAATACTGTTAAGAAAAAGAATCCTGTTATGTTAATATTAGATCAGCCATTCCAGCTTCCTCCTGGGTAAACATGTGAAAATGGTTAAACAATAAATTTCTATGGCAACAGCTTAAATTCTAGGATATTCTTAGTTACAGCAACAACCACAGAAGCTATTAGTTTCTTCAAAACAGTGGAACTAAACAAGATATTTCCTTTTTTCCTCCTTTTCCATCTGGTACAACTAAAATCTCTTTTACTTTGATGAATTAAATATGATTTAACTAGAAACAAGATATCTCAACTAGTGCACGTGGCAGCTACAGGTGTACGAACATTTCACATAAAGACAACAAAAATAAGCTAGGCACTTCTAAATGAAAGTTATATGCTAAGACCATATATGTATTATGTATCCTGTAAACTAAACTAATACATAATATATATTACTTTAAAGCAAACTAATATACATGGCTATATATTAGTTTATATATATGTATATATACATATAATTGTGACAGAGATTCTTTATCAAGATAAAAAAATTCTCTGAATAAAGGATGTTCTTTTACATTAAACCATTGCTTATGTTTTCTACATGGATTTTTAAACATATATTCGTGTTTATTAAAATATTTGATAATTCTAATATTTTAGAATCAATAGATAACTTAATGATTTGAACATCTATAATTCATAAATGCATATAGCAATTCATCTTTTTTCTTATATGTTGCCCTTTTATACATCCTTGGAGAACACACTAAAGTTATCCCCTTTAAATGTAGGGCAATTTTCTTTTGCTGAAGACATAGTGGAAATATAAAGGGCTACCAATACGTACTCAATTAAGAAGATACAACTTGGGTTTTTGATTTGTTATAAAGTATTTTTACAGCTATATATATATTTTTTACGGATATTCTTCTTTAAGAGTTTATCCTGTTAATCTATATGATCATGCCATTCAAACAATGAGGTTTTATAGTATGAGGGAAATTGGGTTTAAATATTGCTCCAGTATCTACCAGCTATGATCTGAGTTATTGCGTATTTCCTTAAGCCTCAATTTTTTTCTTATCCGTATAATGGAAATAGCAATATTATATTAAATTATTTTTTATTTGTAAGGGTTAAATTAAATAATTATGTAAACTATTTAGCCCATGCCTGACACATGATAACCACTAAAAGCTGTTAAAGCTAGTATTTGAAAAATAAGTTTACTCTTTAAACTTTGTCCTCTATATCATAAATTATTTTTAATTAGTATGAAGAAAACTTCTTGCCCCAATGAACATCTTCTAGGAGAAGTTCTAGTTTCCTGACTTAGACTAATCATGTTATTAGTTTTCAAAGTTACTATTACGCCTCACTAGATACCTCACCAAAGATGTAGAATATCTACCATTTTTTCTTTTCCTTCTTAAGGTTATAACATTGTTGAATATGACTCTTCCCCTCCTCCAACTTTTCCATTACAAGTAAATCTGTTGATTGCTTACAGGGAACCCGGTTGTACTTTCCAAAAAAAAAAAAAAAAAAAAAGAATTAAGGCCTTTATAAGAAAAATAAATAAATAAACAGCCCATAATATCTGTCAGCAGATAGTAAGTTCCAATTTTATCAGTATGAAATGTACTCCACAAACAAAAGAATCAAGAGAGAAAATGATGAATGGCCTTAACTATAGCCGCAGTTTATAATAAAGATTTTATTTAAAAACCGTTAAAATAAATAATACATACTCCAGAACATCACTGTTCTGGGAAATTACTTCTCTTTAATATATGAGTTCTAGAAGGCAAATCTTACTAATACTGCTCTGGGGGCTTTCATTAGCTGATATATATATATATATATAAAATTTAAAAAAAATCTGTGAACTGCAGTCTTTTAACATACTTCTCCAGGGTGGATATGTGGTGGAATGCAGACCCCCATCAATATGTGTAGTTTTGTTTGCTTTTTGTTCCTTAACTGCTAATAAAATAGACTGCTTAGCAATCCCAGAGGAATACGATTGAGACCAGGTTAAACTGGCTCATAAAATTCAAACAGTTCAATGCTTTTCTTGTTAATTACTAGGCCACAACCAGAAATACTAATGATGGGAAAGAAACACTTCTTTAGGATAATGATTGATTTCCATAAAGATGAGTGCTTTAACAAATTCCAGTATGCAGTTGTTGGGGCGGGGAGGGTGGGTGGGCACTAATTAGTTTTACCGTTTTCAGCAGATGTTGAATTCAAAACGCCAGCATCATCTCAAATGCCAGTCATTAGGGCCGTCTTTCATCGAAGAGTGCTGACCAATGAAATCTCCACTCTGTTTAATGAGACCGATCTAGGCAGAGTCAATTAAATCAAATCTCTACTATCATCCTTAATATATCTGCAGTGTGTGCAGCACCAGCAGAAGCAGCAGCGAGGGATTTCCAGTATTAATAAAGGGATTCACTGCCGCATAAGGAGAGGGAAAAAAGGGGGTGGGGGAGGGTGTGTTGGGGAAGACCTTACTTTATGGACAGGGGAAAGCTGGAAAAGCGAGGAGGAGGGCAGCTACGTAAAGGATAAAAAGCTAAGTAAAACGATTAGAGAAAGAGCTCTCTGATAGAGCTCTAGAAAGGATCCACCCCCACCCGCCCCCTCCCCCGTCCCTTCCACCGCAAATCCAATTTACCAATTGCAAACATGAAGCTGGAAAAATATAAGGACCCAGAGTTGAAAACATTTTCACTTTAATACTGAAAAAATATGCCATTATAAAATCCTCGAATAGAATTAGTAAGTTTCACGTGCTTCCTCGGTTCTTTTTTCCTACTGTATAAGTAAGATTTACACCAGCACAGAATTGCTACCATAAGATCGCAGCCTAAGCACTAGAATGACATTAATTGGTCATGCTTAACTGCCTCAAAATCTTTTTTTTTAATAATTACACTGATACTATAATAGAAATCATGGGTACTTATTTTACATTCAGATGGAAGGCATTATTGGATATGTATAGAAAAATATTCCCCCTCAAAAAAAAGTAAAACATCACCATCAAAATAAAAGAAAGAACCCAAAACAACCCATAAAAACGTCGCTCAACAAAATACATTTTTAACTCATAAAATGGACTGATGATTAGCCATGCAAATGTCTTAAATAAAACCTTTACATTTTTTTTCACAGTAAACGTACGTACGCTCTGAACTGCCTACCGATCACAAATAATGGCGAAATGGCACTTTCTGATTATACTGTGTTTTGTTTATAGAAAGTTTGATAACGATGGGACTTATCAGGTAAGAGGGTGGGTGCTGTGAATGTGATGCCGGCTCCAGTCGCCAAGGAGGGCAGCGTCCCTGGAGCGCGTGGTTTCCATGCGAGCCATGCAGCACTTTTTTTGTCAGAAGTCAAAGTTATTTATTTACAATACATTCATGCCTTCGTGCAACTGCCCATCCCTGCATAGCCAACAGGGAGCCATCACGCCCCCCTCCTCACGGGGCCAATCCACAGGGGAAAAATAGATATCTATCTCTCTATATAGACGTGGGTATATGTATATACGTATAGGACCGCGGCAGCCATCCCCATCAGCTCCACCGCAGAGGGCTAGTTCTTTGAGCAGGGCCCCCGCTGGGTTTTATCAAAAGGAGCTCGCTGCAAAGAGCGATTTGGCAGCGCTCTCCCAGCTCGCCACAGTCTGCTCTTTGTTTCCAGGAGGGAACTAAGGGGTCAAACCCTCTCACTGGAACGAGTTCATAGTTATTTATTTACTTATGTCCATAAAGCCTTGGGGCGCGCTGGACGTGGGTCTGGGCTCCTCTGACCCCTGGGCTGACAGAGGGGGTGGGGACAGAGTGGTGGGGGCATCTCCTTCCTGCTGCCCCGCTCTACCCTGGTTGGGGTCTTAGTCTGAGAGCGAGTGGGAGCCACAGTCATATACTCTGTGGGCTCCATCTGCGTTGTAAGGCCCATTGTGCCAGTAGGAAGAGTCACAGACTGTCTGTAGGGAATTAATTTCGGACGCCGAGGAGTTGGCGTCCCTTCTCTTAGATCGTTTTCTATTCCTCAGGATAAACACGAGCATGCCCACTACAGTGAAGGCGGAGGTGACAAACACCAGCAGCAGTCCCGGGACCAACACGGAGATGGACACCCTGCTGGTGTCTAGATAGGAGTTGGAGTGCGTCCCGGTCTCCGCCAACCCAGTGCTGTTTTTACTGTGCGAAGTTAACGTGGGCGAGATCCTCGCGTACAGCTGGGGGCAGATCTCGTCATTGGAGAGGAGCATGAAATCCTTCCTAAAGAAGTTCACCGGCGTCTCACACTTGAGGTCGCTCATCAGCACTTCGGAACCCAGGCGTTCTGCCCATTGCTTAAAAGGCACAATGGTGCAGGAGCACTCCCAAGGGTTTCCATGCAGGTCTATCTGGATGATGGAGGTTAACTGGTCCAGCACCCCTGCCACCGGAAGGTACATGAAGTAATTGTTGTGCAGGCTGAGCTTAGAGAGCGAGACCCCAGCGAACACGTCCACGGGTAGGGACCTCAGTAAGTTGTTATTGAGAATGAGGATCCTCAGTTTGGGCATGGCATTGAAAGTGCCAGGAAGGATGAGCTGGATTGCATTGTACTCCACGTTCAGGTACTCGAGGTTTTGGAGCCCGGCGAATTTCTCCCGAGACAGTGTGTCCAGGTAGTTGCTATCCATATACAGCCACCTGAGGTCCAAAAGGTTCTTAAAAGTGTTGTTCTCTACGGTAGCAATGTTATTGTTGCCCAGATCTAACAGAATGAGATTCTTGTAATCCACAAAGTGCGATTTTCGGATGCTATGGATCTTATTATCTCGAAGGAAAAGCTCCTGCACGTTGGAGAGTTTGGGCTTCAAATCAGCCAAACTGCTCACGTTCCGGTTGTTGCAGTTTATCTTTAAACCCGATCCCGGGATGTGGTCGCAGCTGCAGCCCCCAGGGCAGGGCAAGCCGTTGGCTGGGGGTTTGTTTCTGGCGCTGCCGGTCGCTATCGCAGCAGTGGGTCTTATTTTGATCTGCCAGTTGCCTGGGATCTTTGTACCTCCGTTTGGAGCAGACCCTGGGGTGGCACGATCCTCTTGCCCATTTGTCTTGAAAGGAGTTGGCAGGGGGCCAGGAGCGAAGGTCTCTTCTTGGGCAGGGGGCGCTGGGAGACTGGAATCCACTCGGTTTTTCAAAGGACACAAGTCCTGTTCTGTGGTTCCATTGAGGTCTTTCCCTTGCAGTCTGGTGGGGGCTTCACAGACAACTCGGCCGATCAGAGCATTTTTGGGAATATTTTCCAGCCATTCTTTCAGGGAGAGGAGATCACAGGTGCAGTCCCACGGGTTATCCTCTAGCAGAATCTCAGCAATGCCAGGGATTTGCTCCAAGACTTCCTCATAGGGCAGCGTTTTCAGCCTGTTTCCCCGGAGGTCGAGGTGGGTGATGGGCACATACTGGAACACGTTGGCAGGCAGGGTGCTGATGAGATTGTCATTTAAAATGAGTACTTCCAGCTTGTTCAAGTCCTGGAAGGCCCCAGGGTCTATATCCCGTAATAAATTAAAATCGGCCTGGAGGTATTCCAGATCGTCCAGCCCCAGAAAAGTCTGCTTTCGAAAAGACTTTATCTTGTTGTTGTTGATGTGCAGCCTTTTCACCAGCTGCAGCCCCAGAAAAGCCCCAGGAACGATTTCATGCAAGCCATTGTTTTCCATGTGCAAACTAACCGCATTATAAAAGTTAGCAAACTCATTAGGGAAAAGTCGAGTGAGGGAATTACCATGCAGAAATAGATGGTAAAACTGGGAAGTCGGGGCGGTGAAACGCTGCAGACTTGTAAAGCCCTTTTTTTCACAGTCTACGTGTAGGTCCCCTTCTATCTCATTGCAGGAACAGATCTTCTCTTTACAAACGTCCCCTGTAACGTTTCCAGCGGCAAAACAAAGAGACGTCTCCAGCAACAGAATCCAAAGCAGCATTTTTAAAGCGAGCAATTCATCCCCGATCTCATCACAAAGTAACAGCGACCATCCTGCTCGCCACAGACACAATTCAAGTTCATTTAGTGCTCCAGTGTCCGAACCCAGGGAAGGAGAAGAAAAGGGTTTGGGGGGGTGGGGGTGGATTCCTTCCTCCCTAACCCCCCCGCACTGCAACAACCCAGGCGCCAGTCAAGAATTATATCCACAGACTATCCAGGCACGTAGTGCAAGGCAAGCAAAAAAAAAAAAAAAAAAAAAAAAGGAAAAAAAAAAGGGGGGGGAGGGGAAGAAAAAGAAAGGAAGAAAAGAAGAAAGAGAAAGGAAAAAAAAGTAGAAAAAATAACCCTACTCCCCCTCAACCCTTTAAAAATTACCAAAAGAAGTTAAATATACACATATAAATTAAAAATACACCCTTACAGAACTTGGTCTAGTGGTCCTCACTAATCAGGAAAGGAACAATTCTAGTAATTAGAAGCAAGTGCATGTTAGAGAAACAAGCAGAGGGTTTGCAGCGTAGTACAGGCGCACTGCCTGTGCATGGCTGTGCGTCGGACTGACCTTGCCTCTCTGATACAAAGCAGGGTTTTCGGCGGCTTCTGTCGCTGAGGCGGCTGATGGAGTTCTTGCGGTGGCTGCAGGTTGCCCAGAAGTCGCCCCCGAGGTGCTGTCCAGTCCCCCCGGTGCTGAAATCACGCCCGACAGAAGAACTCACGCTGCCGAGCCAATGGCGCTGGAAAATTTCCGCAATCGCTGCGTTTTGTAGCTGTCCATCCTTTCCCTTTCCTTCCCTTCGGTCCTCTTCAGCTTTTTTTCTGGGCTCCGGCTCTCGGTTACTAGCTCTTCTTTTCTTTTTCTCCTCTTTATTCTGCTCTTTCGGAATTACGTGGAGGGGGCGGAGGGCGGGGGGCGAGTTGTCTGAGGGAGGGAGAGAGAGCGAGAATGGGGAGGGGGGTAGAAGAGAGTTGCTAAGAAGCTCTGCTTGTTCCAGCCTGGTGCACTCTGAAAGATCTGACACCCTCTGCTGATCTGCAGTAGCAAAAATCCATCTGGTGAGGGAATGCTGAAGAAAAAAAAGAAAATCAATCCACGTACAGGGCAAGCGTTAAAAATGTGGGCATTAAAGGCTGTCGATCCACATAGACGCTTATTTTAAATGGATTATTTAATTCTTTTTGCGTGCTGAAAACTTTACCCTTTCCTTTCCTTAACGACCTCACAGCCCCCCACTACCTCCAGCGTTTGGAAAGGAGTGCTTTTAAAACATTTATTTCCCAATGGCTTGAATAAAATTAGTGTCAGGGTGTCAAGCGAACAGCAATTTGAGGTAATTATACTGCACGCCATTTTCCTCGGTGCTTTAAATGCATTTCTTCCGTCTCTGCAGTACAGTGTTTTATGATATTTGATGTCTTTGAAAATTTTTTTGGCATGTTGAAAGTGGTTATTTGGAATATATAGTCATATCATATATATATTTTAAATAATATAACTGGGTATGAATTTTTTGTTGCATGGTATATAATTTAAGCACATACTTTTTCTTTTTTAAACTTGGTATAGAATTTTAGTCAATTTGGTCGTTGAGAGTTAGGTTTCTTTGATATTTCTTGAGTGTTATTTAAGTCTGCAGGGTGAAAATACAATGCGTGCTTGCGTCTTTGATTCCAGACCCAAAATCTTTCACTGAGAACCGGAAAAGGAGGGAGGGAGCAGGAAAAAAAATCCCAGTATGATTCGTGAGTGCTCTTAAATATCCACTGGCAGATTGGCACTCGCACCACACACACACACACACACACACACACACACACACTCTCTCATATACCCAAAGTTTCCAAATCCATATGGACGAATTTAAAACGCTTACAAGTAAATAACCAGTTGCATTTTGAGAGGGGGTGAGAGAAAAAGAGAGGGTGAGAGAGAGAGAGAGAGAGAGAGAGAGAGAAAGAAAGAAACCGCCAGTTTCTAAGGCCCTGTATGAATGTTATCTGCAGGTAGTGGGCAGTTTCTCTTCTCCGGGTCACTGGTGCTGGTGGAACACCCAGTTAGGGCTTTTCTCAGAGAGGGAATCATCTGGTTACTCGAACTTAGATGGAGCTTATAAAAACCAGGTTCTAAAAACATCTGTGAAGGGAGGGAATATGAGAATGCTGCTTGTTGGAAAAGTCAGCTGTTCTGACTTTTCTTAACAGAGATGACACCTTTTCCATCAATATAGTCTAAAAATGGTGTGCATGATTTTAGGGTTTGAATTTATAGGATATTATTATTATTATTAATTTCCTTTCTTCAGTAGAAGCAGAAATATGTTTACATCAGTTTCCCTTTTAATTAGGTCTTACACAGTTGGACAGCTGTTAATATGCCTGCTAATAATCTGAGTAAAAGATCCGATATTCAAGGATGTGTGCATTTTGAAAAAACTAGAGAGTAAAAGAATTCCAGGAAGGACTAGAGATGAGGAAATTCAGGGAAGTATAGAGGAAATATTTTTTCCTGGGTCCAGAAGCTAATTCTTGGGGGGAGGCAGTTTTCATATCTATATATAATATTTTCATGTAATCAAATGTGTTCTTTTCTGGTGAAACTCAGTGGGAGGGCATGGATGAAGGTTCAGTTTGTGTGTGTGTGTGTGTGTGTGTGTGTGTGAGAGAGAGAGAGAGAGAGAGAGAGAGAGAGAGAGAGAGAGAGAGAGAGGACTTTTTCAGACAACCTATTACACTTCTAAAACAATCCGGTTCTTATATCATTTAACCCATTACCACATGTAGAAAGAGGAAGAGCTTAATCTGAAACCATTTCACAGAAAAACTGCTATGCAGTTGAGAAATGCAGATGTGCAAGAGGAGTTAAACTGAAGGGAAGGATATTTCTGAATCTTTGTAATAGGACTCAGGTCTGAAACTTCTTGTCCCCAGAAACCACCCTGTGAAAGAAGGCAGCCTCATGCAGTGTCTGTGATTGACAGGGGTAGGCAAGGCTCTGAAGGAGAGACAGAAAAATGCTCCCTGTTTAGAAAGAAAAATATTGATGGTAATCATCTAAAATCACACTATTAAACTTAATTGGTTACTTGTTTATTCAACTTGCTGAATACTTTATGCGAAGAGACCCAAAAAACATATTTTCAGTTGATTGTAAATGAACGGGTAAGGTAACAAGCAATTGATATTCAGATTTCATCCCTCCCCCACCCATTAAACTTTATATCTCTGTCCCCTGATTGCTTCTTGCCTCTCAAAGCACCCATCACCTTAGAAAATTTACAATCAGGATTTTCCTATTTTGATATGTTACAATTTTTTTTTCAGTTTTACCCTCCTCAAATAGTTTATTATCTCTGCACTCTAAGAAAGGGCATGTGGTAGGGCCAGATGAGCAACCAAATCTCAGAAGAAAATATTAAGGTAATATTACCTATATGAAGATATTCAATGCAAAATTGCAAGCAAAGAATATAGGCACACACGTAGTTCAGTGGAAAATGCACCCTCATTACTTTTGACTTTGCCAAAAGTAACAAAGCTACACACCAATGAGCCAACAAAAGTTTTCTTAAAATTTATTTTCATATTAAATGTATTTCAGAGAAAGAAAGCAGTCTGGAATAGCATATCCATCCCTCCAAAGGCTAACTCTTCAAGTATAATGGTAACTTTCTTGGTAGGAAATGAAAAAATATGGCAATGCCTTACGGGAACATTTCTTAGGCATGAACTCTTTTTAAAAGGGTTCTACTATATCTATTTGAGCTCAAGTGAACTGCTTCAATTGCTTTGCCTCTCATAACAGATGATCTCAGGAGCCTGAGATAAAGGATACTCCAGATGATGATGAGAATTGATAATATTTGCTCAGGGCTGTAGTTTTGTTTCTGGGCTGTGGCCAGAAGGATTTCAGTTGTATCATTAAATGTTCATATTTTCTTATTCTTCCTCAAACAGGTTCATCTCTCAAGTGACAAAAGTTAGATATACATATCACAGAATCATTAAGATTAAAAATAGAATTATCAGTTTATTATCTATTTCCCCCAAGTGTCATCAAATTTCCAGATGTTTCCATACATGCACTACATATTTAAGATGGAAGAGTAGAACACATAACCAACATTAATTTAAGATATTTTCATTATTTATTCTGCACAATAATTTTAAAAGTATTCAGTTTTGATTTTTAATTTTTAAAAAGAAATACTTTTTTATTTAAGAAACACAAAATTATATATAGGAAGTCCATCCTTAGCCTTCTCTTATCCATGCTTTTTATTCTAGAGGGAACTACTGAAAACTTGTGTATAGTGATTTTGATATTGTTATTTTATTTTATAGATGTGGAAACTGAAACTGAGGAGTATTGAGTAATTTACCAAGATTGAATAATACTAGTTGACTTTGCCAAAAGTAACAAAGCTACACACCAATGAGCTAAACTTTTATTCTCACTCCTAACTCCTTATTTGTTCTAAATGCTGTTACTTTAGTTAATCTCTCCATGGGTCAGTTTCCTTACTAGTAAATTAATTCATTGAAGTTTATGGAATTTTTGGTCCCTTCAGGCTCTTTTTTCTGAATCCAAAATCTTTAAAAATAATTTCAGAAAAGTCCCAATGTCTCTTGCTTCCTTAGACTTTTCACATTTAGACTTGGGGTGTTTTATTAATGTATTTGCATATTCACTAGGGCTTGAAACCAAGAATGAATGTAAAAAGCACTGTAGAATAGAGTTCACTAGTGCTGAGTTTAATCTACTATTCTTTCCTATGTTTCACAAAATAAAGGGGTTGTTGGAATTCTTCCTTCTGTGATAACAATTGTAAACTAAGAGATGAGAATATAAATCAATTACACCTGTAAACTAACATGCTTAGAATGTAAGGTTTCCACCTATTTCTTTTTATTTTCTTTTTGTATGATTGTTAATAATTTTCAAGGAGTGGAGTACCAAGATAATTATCACATTACATGACTTTTGAAGACAAAACCATAAAATGTATTTTGAAAATATTTTTTTTAGTTGCTTGTCAAAATGTAGCTTTTATTTATAATGAAATAAACAGCAAACTAAGTAGAACACATAAAAATATTTTTACAGGGGCGCGTGACTGGCTCAGTTGGTTAAGTAACTGACTCTTGATTTCAGCTCAGATCAAGATCTCAGGGTGGTGAGATGGAGCCCCACCATGGAGCCTGCTTAAGATTCTCTTTCCCTCTTCCTTTGTCCCTCCCCCATCACCTGCACATGTGCACACGAGCTTCCTCTCTCTCTCTCTTAAAAAAAAAAATACCTTCACATTTTTACTTGTGTCCTGAAGTAGCATTTCTTTATGTTTATATTACTTTAAATTTATACTGCTTTGGGTCACATGTTGATAAAAAATGTAAATTTGTATACAGGGTAATTCTAATATATTTCTTTTTTAAAATTTAACATAAATCAAGCAACCAAAGTTCTGCCTGAAAAGGGTAACACTCTTAGGTATATACAGTTGACTCTTGAACAACCCCTTGCACAGTTGAAAATCCTCGTATTACTTTTAACTCTCCCAAAACTTAACTACTAATAGCCTACTGTTGACCAGACACCTTACCAATAACATAAATAGTCGATTAACACATATTCTGTATATTATATATATTTTATACTGTATTTTACTATAAAGTTAGCTAGAGAAAAGAAAGTGTTATTAAGAAAATCATAAAGAAGAGAAAATACATTTATAGTAATATAGTGTATCTAACGTAAGAAATCTGTATAATGGTGGGACATGCAGTTCAAACTCAGGTTGTTCAAGAGTCAACCGTACTATACTATGTACTGTACTACAA